AAACTCGATTCGCTACGCCGAGAGCCTTGCACTGCTGGCTCTTTCGTACACGCATTTGAACTTCCTTGAGGAAGCGGAGAAGGCGTTTCGCGAGAGTATCAAGGTGTTTCGCGACGTATCGTACAATCATGCGACGAACTCGTGGCTGCCAGACGACCGGTCAACAGCAGCCACTATCACAGAGCCGCAGAAACACCCTCTTGCATCCGCCGCCCATGCACTTGCCGACTGTGCACAGTTATTTCTTCTTCAGAATCAGGAGCACCGAGCCATTGCATTTCTGGAAGAGGCGCTTGAGATTCGTCGTTATCTTTACATCCGGCACAACAAGTATCGTCCCATCATTGCACAAACTCTCAACAAGTTGTGTGAACTGAAAAAGTCGATCAATGATGCCACAGGGGCAGAGATGTGTATTAACGAATGTCTTGAGATTTGTATCGCAACGCTCGGTCGTGACTCTCCGGCAACGGCGCAGGCAACGAGCAGCAAGGCGTCGTTGCTCGCCGCACGCCGTCAATTTCGTGAGGCACGGCGATTATACGAAGAGAGCACGACGACATATGCTGTGGCGCTTGGCAAAGATTCGGCGCTATTTGGACTGGAACTTGTGAAGCTGGGTCGCATTCAGGAGTTATGCGATGACTATATTACGGCCGAGAAAACATATGAGCGTGGCGTTGATGTGATTAAAAAAGCGCTTGGACCCGAGGCGCTGCAACTTGCAGAGGCGTACACATTCCTTGGCTCACTCTTAGTAAAGCGACAGGAGTTAACGCGTGCCATTGACCTCTTCCGTGACGCTGTACGGCTACGGAAGACAAAAAATAGAAAAGATCCGCAGCTGGCGTATTTATATCAGAAGCTTGGGGACGCGTATGCGATGCGGCGGGAGTCTCATGCGGAAGCGTATTTTCTTCTTGCCATTGAACAGTTTCGTGAGAACGCCAAGGTGGAGCCGCTGCAGCGTACGTTTCTTACAGATGTATTGGATGACTTGGGTCTCTTTTACTTGGACTTTCACCATTACGAGAAGGCGGAACGGTGCTTAAAGGAGGCACTGGATACACGCATTGAGATGCTTGGTGAGAGTCACGCCACGGTGGCGTATTCATACAGCAACTTTGCGCTTTTGTACCTTCATCGTGAGGATACGGATAACTGTGAAAAGATGTGCAAAGCGGCGCTTGACATGTACGCCAAAACGGCTCGATCAAACGTCCTTGCACAGGCAGATGTGTACACAACATATGGTCAGTGTTGTCATTTACAGAGACGCCTCCAGGATGCACTCAGTTGGCACGAAAAGGCGTTGAATGTCCGGCGGACGCGTGGAGAAAGTAGTGAGTTATCGACCGCAGAGTCACTCAACCACATTGCTCGTGTGTATGTTTCCATGAAGCAGTACGCATCAGCCACAAAGTATTTGGCGGAGGCGAAGAAGATTGCCTATCAGTTTACCGCGGAGTTTGCGCAGTACCTGCGGCAGGAGGTAGCAAAGACGGAGCAGCAGATTCCTCCTATGGAAGAATGGAGCGCAGAGGACCGTATCGCTGCCACACCAACGCTCCCTGTGGACAATAACGAGCCAAGGGAAGAGGAGATGACGTCACATTAGCGAAGGAATAGGGACAGTCTCTCTTCCTCCCTTTGCGGGGTATGGGAGGATAGGCCGATGGGGTGTGATTGGGGGAACACCTCTGGTGAAGAAGTTGGAGGAGGGGAGAGGGTTTCATGGAGAAGAGAATTTGGCGTGCGAAAAGAAGGGAAAGCACTATCATTTCATTTATGTTATTCTGTACATTCCTGTGCATTTAATTACAGAAATGTAATTTATTTACTTTTTTTTGTTGTTGTTGTGTGAGGTGCTTTTTGCATTTCTTTTTTTTTTTTTTTTTGACTTTTCTTTTTATATATAAATTTTGGATTTTTATTTTGTCTTTTTGACTCTTTGCAGCACGTTGGGAGGTGTTACTTGTGTCTGTACGCATTCAGCTTTAATTAGGAAAAAGAAAAAAAAGAAAAGAAAAAAGGAAATACCGCCACCGACATGTCGAGCAACCGCTACCCGGCGTTGCCAAGCCGCATGTCTCTGATTTCATTCAAGACACGTCTTAAGGGTGCGCAAAAGGGGCACTCACTGCTAAAGAAGAAGGCCGATGCCCTCGCAATCCGCTACCGCGCGATTATGGGGGATCTGCGGAATGCCAAAATGGAAATGGTGGAGCAAATCCGGGGAGCGTATTTCACCGTCTCCAAAGCTCAGTTTATAGCGGGCGACATTGGCCTTGCGGTGCAGGAGTCTCTTAAGCTGCCGACATACGCGATGCGACTTCGGGTGGAAAATATTGCCGGTGTGCGTGTGCCAAGTTTTCACGAACGCGAGGAACACAGCGGTGATTTGGTCACGCTGGATGAGAAGGGACGGCGAATAGGCACGGCGGGCATCGGCCGCGGTGGCGAACAGCTCCGAGAAGCGTCTGAGAAGTTCCGTGAGACCCTGCGGCTCCTGGTGAAGATTGCGTCACTGCAGGTTAGTTGGGTGACACTCGACCTTGCACAGAAGGTGACAAACCGCCGCGTAAATGCACTGGAAAAAGTAGTGATTCCTCGCGTGCAGAACACATTAAGTTACATCACCTCGGAGCTGGACGAGCAGGAGCGTGAAGAGTTCTTTCGTCTCAAGATGGTACAGAAGAAGAAGCGGCAGATTCAGGCGAATAAGGCGCGTGAGGCACTCGCACGGCAGGCGAATGCGAGCAAAGGTCCTTCCACGGTTCAAAATGCACTTAAAATGATGAATGGCAACGATGACCTGGGTATCGATGAGGCAGATCTAGTTGTGTAGACAAAAAATTTTTTTCTTCTTCAATCTCCTTCTTTCTTACTTTCTGCGTCTCTCTCTTGAGTGCGTATTTATTGAACGGGGCTGTTGTGTAGTGGGAAGAGAAGGAGTGGGAATGAGAACCAAAGCAGAAGCCGTTCTGCACATTATATTAGTGAGATCTTGCCATGAGTATTTTTTTTTTTTTTTGGCCTGTGTGGCTGTTTGATCCTTTTATTTACTTTATTGGTGTGGGTCGGTGTGTCTGTTGCGTCTTGTTGTTTTTGTTTTTGAGCTTTCTCTCTCTTTCCTCTCCATCTGCTCTGCCGCTTTGGACCAACACACAGACACAGAGACACACACAGGCGTACAAAATAAGAAGGAGGAAACCAAAGAAAAACAAACAAGCAAACAACAACAACAACAAAAAAGGCAAAACAGGGGGGCAGCTGAATGGTGAGAGCGAGGACTATGGGGGAGCAGCAGGAGCTGGTCGCACTTCGACCGGGAGGGTTGCTTCATTATGACTACCGCACCGATGCTGCGAAAACGGAAAAGCTTCCCGAGACGTTTCGGGTCGTTCAGTGGAATATTGAACGTGGGATTCAGTTTGAACGCATCGTGCAGACATTGCGGGTCATTCGGGCCGATGTTCTCCTGTTGCAGGAGGTGGACATAAACTGCCGGCGGTCGAACTACAGGAACGTTGCACGGGATCTCGCCGAGGCACTGAAGATGGAGATGTACTTTGCCTGCGAGTTTGAGGAGTTGGACGCGGTGGATAGAGCACCTAAGAATGCTGTAGGCCCCCTTTCGTCACCAGCAACCGCAATTTGTGATGGTGGTGATGAAAACAATGGTAGTACGTCTTTGTACAAGAGGGGACGCCATTTTCATGGCAATGCCATTCTTTCTGCAGGCGCTACACTCAGTGATCCACGTGTTATTCGTCACACGGCTGGTATTGACTGGGAAACGGAGGGATGGAAAAGGCGTGAGCCACGGCATGTTTTTCGTAACATTCTGCGTTGTTGTATCCATCGCAGTGAGCGCACAAATTCCCATATACCGGATCTGTACCTTTACTGTTGTCATTTTGAGGTATTTTGTGGGACACTTTCAAGGGTGCGACAACTGTTGGATGTGTTCCGTGATGCCACAAGCGTACTGAATGAGGGGAGGCAACATATTGCCTCACATTCTCACTACAGTAAACAGCAGCATCCTGCCTTCATTATTGCTGGGGATTTGAACACATTGGCAGATGGCATTGTACGCTTGTCGCTGCAATTTGACTTGGGTCGCTTGCGACTTCTTAGTTTTGGGGAGAAGGAGGCATGTTGGCTGCAACGCAAAGTTTTATCGCGTCGCATGCATCATGTAACACGGGGCTGCTGCCCTTTTTCATACCATTACCCGTATTACGTTCTCCCTATTCTGTATGAATCAATTTGGAACAGTGACTTTGCATGGAGGTGGTTGTATGGCTTCTCTACGGAAGAAATCGCTGCGTTGGATAATCGTCATCTCTGTTTTTACGATCCAAGCGACAAGGCATTGTCTATCACACTTGATGATCCAGCTTACTATGGCTTTGTTTGTGGTAAGCTGGATTGGCTGCTGCTAAGCAATCTGACGGTTGCGCCACCCTCACTCACCGAGGACGCCCTTGAGGCGCTAAAAATGAGTGGATCCATCAATGCAGAAACCGCGTCTTCTTTGTCTTTATGGCGGCAGAATATGTTGTTACCAATGCATGGATATGTAACATTTAATGAGCACTTTGAGGCCTCAGATCATAAAGGTCTATTGATGCATATTCAGCAGCAAAATAGTCTTCCACAGGAGACTTACCCAGAGTATGGCGCCACTTACACCGCATCATGGATGAATGTTGGATTTTTCACTTTCACACGAGTGCTACCATGGGCTGTCACGGCGTTTGTAATTTACAAACGATGGCAGCGGTGTAGACATGTCTAGACGACTGAAGAGAAATATCTGAAGAATACATGTATTTCTGAGGGAGGCGGTGGGATGAAACCATTTAACAGGGTGGAGGCGTGCCTCCTGTTCGGCGCCATTCCATACACATACACATACTCCCTCCTTCTCTTTTCTTTTTTTTTTCTCTCTCTCCCTCTCTCCTCTGGCGGCTTTGAATGCCCACAACATAATGGAGAATGAAATGCCGCGTCTGCCGGTGTGGTTTGGTGGGGCTGCACTTCTCGGCGGCGGGTATTACGCCTTTTACTACCATTTCTACACCCCTCGCCACACAACACGGTCTGAAATTGAGACGGCGATTGAGGCGGAGAAGTTGAAATGGCAGTCCGTTATGCAACGCTACGCCATACTGCATCATATGGTACAAAAACTGCGTGACGGCGGCACAGACGCCACTAACCGTGAGCGTCTTTATATTTACTGTGAACTCCAAAAGCTGAGGGAGGCGTTTTATAATCTATCCATACGTGCTCAATCAGCATCGGAGAAGCAGACGGTACTGCGGGATCTTGATGAGGTGGAGACGGCAAATTGCACTGTATTGAACTTTAGAGAAGAGGCTTTAACAGTGGGGCAAATAATTACCTGCCAGCTTTGCTTCAGTCTCTATGTGCTCTGCTTCTGTCTGATTGATCCCGTCTTGAGGCGAGTACATTGTGAGGCCGTGGAGCGGGTTCGAAGACGTGGGCTTCATATCGTCTCATGGTGGATGATGCGCCTTCTTCGTATTCCTGTCACCATGACGTTGGAAAACACATTGCCTCCTCCTGATGGTGATGTTAATGAGGTGACGAGGGAAGACGAGGAATACATCGTGTTCAGTCCACAGCATTGGATTGAGGTGGTGGGCTTCTGGGCGTGTCCGACAAACCCGCTTCTGACAAACATACGCGTGCGATGGCTATTACCATGTGATGCCGTGCCTTTTGAAATTCACTGGCGCGGACGCTGGCAACAAATGCAGCAGGAGCTACGTGACCCGATTTTGGTGGTAAAAAAAGAAGAGGAGAATAGAAGGCCGGTTGTGCAATCATCCTTTGGTTACCCGCTTGCATCGCGTCTGACCTGTGGAGGTGGAATGCAAGACGATAGTAATAGTGACCATGTGTTGGCTACCACAGATGTTTATACTCCGCGATTTTTTCCGGTTGTTTCTACCGGTATGCCGCGCGTGCTTTTTGTGAGTGATGCGGTGGCACGGAGGGATGTTAGAACGAGGCGCACGTTGCATGAGGTGTATACAAATGTAAAACACCGACAATTTCCTGTTACGCACAACGTTGTTAAAAATAACAAGGCGGATGATTGCGTCAAAGGTTATGACGTGACGTATGAGCAACTGCATGCCTGGAGGAAACACGGCGGTGTGCCTGTGTGGCATCGAGTGGAGTGGGGCTCTGTCTACGGTGATGTGGGGAGTGGGGGGAACCGGAATCGGCGTGAGTTGACATTTCGCATGGGTCGCCCTTGCTCCGCAAATGAGTTGATGGTGAGGCAGTTGGAATTGCTGCAGAATTTGTTGCTGCAGACGGAGAGTAACGGGGAAGAGGTGAGCCTCCTGTGAAATTGAGAGGGAAAAAAAAAAAAAGAGAAGATGCCCACCGTCCCCTTTTATTCACATCAGTTATTATTATTATTATTTGTGTATTGTAGTTTATTTTAGTTTATTTTTTTTTTTTTTTGTGTGTGTTTTCGTTTTATACATATTTGTGTGTGTTCGTGTGTCTGAGCTGACTTTGGTCTTTCTTTCTCTTCCGCGTTTATCCGGTGTGCTTTCATTTGTTCCTTCTCTTCCTGCGTGTCATGACGTCTCCGTGGTGGGGCGGATATAAAACGAGAGGTGGGGAAAGACTATTGGTGTGACGGCAGATTTGGCATGCGTGGGATGCCTCGTTTGTGTCTGCGGTGCACGAGACGAGGCTCGCTTTGCCGGCTGACTGCCGATGCCATTGGTGTGGTGTCCGTTACCACCGTCACACCGAGTCGATATCGAAGTGCACATGAACGCGGGAATTTAGAAAGCGCCAAGAAATTTGGGAAGGAGTGGGGTATTGGCAAGGCGAGGACGGCGTGGTATCCGAGGGTGCGTGCGGCAATTGATGGCCACCCTGGGGAGGAAGTGGTGGATATGGATCGTCCCTGCCCCGATGAGGAGGTGTATCGAAAGGAAGCAAAGGGATCGTCGACGGAGAGCGCCGCCGTGGTCGATGAGGCTCTGGATGGGCAGGCGGAAATTGGCCGTGTCGACCAGGCGGTGGATGAAGTGCAGGCATTTCTTCGCGAGAAACAGCTTGAAGTGGCGGAGGCGCAGTTGGAGCGCAATGTCGCTATTCCGTACCCCACGCACCCGGATGACATGACACCGGAATTTCGTCGCATCAAAAGGCATCAGTCTATCGTGGTGGTCGCCACGGATCCTGATTACCCCGTCTTTGTGCGACGGGATCAGTTTGTGCAGCTTCCCTTGCCTAAAAACCACCCGTGGGTGAAGAACACACCTATAGGGCCCTTTATTCAACACGGTGATGGTCAACTCGGTGTCGTGGGGAGCGGTGAGGTTGGCTTCGACGATGAGCATGTGGCTAAGGCACTTCCACACAGCTTTCGTGGTCTGCGGCATCGTTCTGTGATGCAGCAACGTCTCCCAGAAAAGAACGGTAAAGTGCTT